TTCATTTTCATAATTTGAGTCATAGTTTTTTGCATATTTATGTTTAATACAATAAATTCATATAAACAAAAGCATGTGTTGACTGATATTACATTTTCATTTTGTAAATATTAAATAACAGGGAAAACATTAAGTTCATAATGAAACTTATTCTTTCCTTGGGCTCATGAGGGTACAAGAAGGGCTCTCCTATGAGACTAAGAAAATATTTCCTATAATCACCTCTTAAATTTATCCCTCCCACTACTGAAATATATACATTTGTTGTAATATACTATATAAACGGGGAACCTAAGGAGAAAACTTACACATTTTCCTAAGGTCAGTGAATCACAGAACATAGATATTTCTGGTTTATAATAAATGCACACTAACAAATCATCTCGTGATTAATTAAGAGGTCGGTTTCATAGAAAATGTGTGTGGCAATTTTAATTTAGAAATATATGGTATGGTCCCATAACAACAGTGTAATAAAACATAAAAATTACTCAGTTTTTAAATTTGACAGAAGAATTTCTGATAAGGTAGAAATAAGTACATATATGTCTCGAAAAGGAGGTATAAAACACTGTGGCATCTATTTCTACTCATGCAAATATGCTTTTTTAGTCAGTTATACTTCTTTTCCACTAACAATGAACTACAGCCAAACTGAAAAATAATATTACTTGTTTTTCTCTACTGCAGCCACTAAGAGTACACAGAACCAGAAGGAAACGTAGGAGACAGTCTTATGTAGACTGGCAACTATAGGAACGTGCATATGTAAACTCTCTCATATAACTACCTTTATATTTTCTTGAAGGTGTCCATAACTAGACATCCACAATCTTTTCTGGCAACTCATTCCAGCCTTTGATTCCTGGACACTCCATCAAAAGTCACTTCCTCCTTCCTCCAATAACTATCACATGCTATATTTTGTCCCCAGAACTTGCTATAATGTGAAATCATGTATTTATTGTTTACTTTTTGTTGATGGTCTTCTTCAAAAAATACAAGCTCTATTCTGTCTTGCTCACTTTTCTAATTGTAGTTGACTCTTAACAGTTACTCATTAAAATTACGTTAAGTAAATAGAGGGAAGTTAAGATGTTAGGAAGAAGGAAGAACAAAATGTTCTACTTTCTGTCTAGCTGAAATACCTTCTATTTTTAATTAAGCCTATCTCTTGTTTTTCAGTCGTTGATAGATAGGGTAACAACAATACCACCTCCTCCAACAAAAATCCCTCCATGTACTTGAAGAAAACTATTTAGGACGGTTAAGCAGGCAATAAATCTGACTTTATCCTTAACTTCTTTTAGAGTAAACAATGGAAAATATATAAACAAACAAGATAAAACAAAGCTTTAACTGATGATGGCAGAGAACTAAGTATTATTAGTTTCAAGAAGTATGAAATCTATCTGCTTAGGAGATGATTTTAAATATGTAAGAAGTCAAAATACAAATTTTTTAAAAGGAGAGGAAAAATCATTAGATGGAGAAAATGGTTCTAAGGTGAACCATGACAGAGAATATAGAATGGTGGTGGTGTGGGGGTGGCTAAGTAGAACATAAGTTTCAGATAATACTCAAGTTACCTGGATTGTCATTGACATTCACCCTTATGTATCCCAGTTCTTAGCTATCTAAATTCCACATATTTGTTTTGCAGAATGCATCACTTTGCAAGACCTGGATTCTTTTAAAAGGATATTTGATAGGGTAGTGGTGTATATTACAAAAACATATTTACTTAGACTATTCCAGCCCAAGCAATAAGTGGAAATTTCTTCTCCTCAATATATGTGTTTATTGACGGGTAAGAAGTAGGTCCAAGAGTGATTATGGATGAAAGAACATGATAAAGTTCAATCATCTGAAGCAGAAAGAAAATCACAATCCTGAGCAATGTAGTTTTCTCATCATTAACCAAGAGATGCATTCTCCTCTTTGTTTTGCTCTATATTTTCATTATTATGACAGTAATATGAACATATTGGAATGCTATTCTAAGTAAACATTTGAACGATTTTACTGTTGGTCTTTCATGTGTTGTATTTATTTGATAAAAAAAAATCTGTCAAAACAGACATGGAGAAAATGAAGTGCACTTCTATATTAAAGTGGGCAAAAAAAGTACAATCAAAATCCATCTGTCCTTGTATAAAGTTCCTGATAATTTCACTTATAGGATCACAGAGGTAAAAAAAAAAAGGGGGGGTATTTTCTTTTAGATCTACTTATGGTTGATGGAGCATATTGATTGGTAGTTTCAGATTTTCCAGAGCACTATTTGTTATAATAACCAATTTCTAAACAATAGTGCTTTAAAAAAAAATTAGAAAGTTAACTTTTATACAAATGGTGTTGCTGTTTTAAGTATTCATACTAAATAGATGCATTTTATATGGAACCTTGGCAGAAACACTAAAATTTTTAAAATAAAACTAATTGTGTAATTCATAATTTATACTAATCAGTGTTGAAACTCAAACAGTGCAAAAGTGGGAGGCAATATCCAGTGATTTACAGTTTTATAGCTTCTTCGCATCTGAGAAATGAATGCTCAGATCAATTTTATCTTCCATAAGCATGTTTTTATAAGAATTGTGGGTGTGCCTATCTTAACAGTTGTTTTCTGTGTCTTGGCAAAATATTCTCCACATTTTAAATGTTTTATATTAGAGAATTCTTTAATGCACACTTGTCAAATATATATATATAGTACCAATGTTACCTTTTTATTTTTTGTTTTAGATGTAAGAGCATGCTCATATGTTAGGTACTTACATAAATTGTTACATTATTTTTCTTATGTAATACCTTTTTGTTTGTTTATATGGTTCAAATATATTCTTTCTTTAAACTCTTAAAAAAAAAAAAAAAAGAAAAAAAAAAGTTCAAAACCTAACCTGTGGGTAACATTTTCAAAATACTCTAAATTTATAACAGCTAAAATTGCATATAAAAGGCTTTTGAATGTGCTGTCAAAATGGCATTTTTAAAGCTTAAGGAGGAGGATATGGCAGAGGCAGAATCATAACAAGCTGGCTTTGGTAATGCTAAGGCCAGTCTCATGTTGAAAAGATGCTACTATAAGTGGAGTGGATGGGAATCCAAATGGGATGTGATTTGGCAGTGGTAGTAATGAAAGGCCTGGGTATGGTGATGAAATTGGAAAGATTTTTCTAAAATGTTCCCTCTATACACTTTTATGCTTTGTTAACTAATGAGAAAAAATTAATTTCATTGGTTTCAAAATCTGAAAGTGACTTCAAGGGTTCCAAGATGGTTATTCATTCATTCAGGCAACACATATTTTATTGAGTTCCTATGTGCCACAATCTACCAAGCTAGATGTTAAGGATAAAATGATGAATATTTAATTACTTTTGTCTTCCTTATGTACAAAATGTACATTCAAGTTTCTCTCTCTGTGTCTCTCATAGAGTTGGTTTGGGATTCAAGGAAGATAGTACAACACATATGTAACAGGTAATAATATATAATAATATTGATAGTAGTACTATATTTGGAGAAGTAAAATGTTAGATTTAGAGAGTTTTTTCTCTACTAACAGGAGTTTGTCATAGGATAACAAACAGAAGATAAGAATAGTTAAAGGCAGGAGTGATTACTCTTCCATTAAGAGAGGGAAACAACACTAAAACTGTGAGGAGAGACACTGGGAAAAAGCTTCCTTTACAGTTTCGCCTGGTGCCAACTCCTTTTATGCCAGAGCCTGGAACAATTTTGAGCGACATCATTTGCCATAAGGTTTTAATTCAGTGTTTCTTAGACTTCACCCAGTCATTTATCAACTTCACTAGCAGTTTTTGCCAGGCCCATTTATAACTTTTATTAATATTTAATGAATATTTTTCTTGAGATCAATGATTTGTTAAATATCAAATATTGTGAATCCTTTTTAAAAGGCAAAGTTTACCTTATTCCTTTAAAGGGGAAATCAGCACCACTTTCTATAATAGAAGGGAGACATAAAACCCAGTAAAATTAAAACAAAAACATTTTAATTAATTTGAGGTAGATGCTATTGCCTTACCAGGGTCTTGAGACCGAGGCTGAAGAGTTTGCTCCTTCTTTGCTAAGAAGAGTAATTATTCAGTGCTGAAAAAGTATAGATAAGCTAGTACTAAACTGAGAATTTCTCTTTGACACACAAGGCGAGAAAAAATATTTAAATAGTGAAAGAGGATAAACTCTCTTACTCAGTGATATATATTATTTAGTGGTATCTCCTATGCCAGCTAAATTGGGCTCCAAAATTACTGCAGATTGTGACTGCAGCCATGAAATTAAAAGATGCTTGCTCCTTGGAAGAAAACTTATGACTAAACTAGACACCACATTAAAAAGCAGAGACATTATTTTGCCAACAAAGGTCCATTTACTCAAGGCTATGGTTTTTCCAGTAGTCATGTATGGATGTGAGAGTTGGATTATAAAGAAAGCTGAGTGCTGAAGAATTGATGCTTTTGAACTGTGATGTTAGAGAAGACTCTTGAGAGTCCCTTGGACAGCAAGGAGATCCAACCAGTCCATCCTAAAGGAGATCAGTCCTGAATATTCATTGGAAGGACTGATGCTAAAGCTGAAACTCCAGTACTTTGGCCACCTGATGCAAAGAACTGACTCATTGGAAAAAACCCTGATGCTGGGAAAGATTGAAGGCTGTTCATTCCACCACAGGGATCATTATGAGTATTTAGAAAGTAGGATAAGGGGGATTTTAAGAGGTTTAAGAATTTATTCAGAACCAAGCTTAGCACACCCCCACCATACATACTGGGGGAGGAGGGAAACTTCTAAATATGCTAGCAATGTCTTGCACAAGAACATGTGGTAAATTAGTGGGCAGAGCAAAATGATCTCTAGGGACTTGCTCTTAAGTTTCCTGACCAGAAGATCATAGTCTTTTCTCACAGATAAGAAACCTCAAGCCTCAAACCAATGAAACATAACTTAGAGAACGGCCCCATAGGACTTACCTCCTGTTAGCATGAGGGCACATTTGCACATGCAGTTGTCATTATCAGCATCTTTAGTGCTGAAATCAGCACCGTGCAAGATCAGGCTGCTCTGTTTTCCTGCTGTCCCAGTGTGACCCTTCAAATACAACCTGAAGTTAAAAAAAAAAAAAAAAGATAAGTCATTCAATAGAATAATAGAACCCAGAAGACTGGTTTGTTGAATGCTTGGCTTTTTCATCATGTTCTCCCTTCTCTGAACTCAGCCCTCCAACAAACTGTTTTATAAGACCAAAGCTCTCTGAACAAAAGAGAGAGAAGGGGGTAGGAGGAAAAAAGAAGGAAGGGAGGGAAGCAAGACTCCCCTTTACAGACAAGTAAAATTCTCTACCTGTGGGTAGAGAAGTCAAGTGAGCCTTAGGAGGCACCACTATGAACAAAACTAGCGGAGGCAATGGAATTTCATTTGAGCTATTTCAAACCCTGAAAGATGACACTGTTAAAGTGCTGCACTCAACATGTCACCAAGTCTGGAAAACTCAGCAGTGGCCGCAGGACTGGAAAAGGTCAGTTTTCATTCCAATCCCAAAGAAAGGCAATGCCAAAGAATGTTCAAACTACCACACAATCGAACTCATCTCACATGCTAGCAAAGTAATACTCAAAATTCTCCAAGCCAGGATTCAATAGTTCATGAACTGTGAACTTCTGGATGGTCAACCTGGATTTAGAAAAGGCAGAGGAACTAGAGATCAATTTGCCAACATCTGTTGGATCTTTGAAAATTTCCAGAAAAACATTTACTTCTGCCTATTGACTACATGAACGCCTTTGACTATGTGAATCACCACAAACTGTGGAAAATTCTAAAAGAGATGGGAATACCAGACTCTCTTATCTGCCTCCTGAGAAATCTGTATGTGGGTCAAGAAGCAACAGTTAGAACTAGACATGGAACAACGGACTGTTTCCAAATTGGGAAAGGAGTACGTCAAAGCTGCATATTGTCACCCTGCTTATTTAACTTATATGCAGAGTACATTATGTGAAATGCCAGGCTGGATGAAACACAAGCTGGAATCAAGATTTCTGGGAGAAATATGAATAAACTCAGACACGCAGATAACACCACCCTTATGGCAGAAGCAAAGAAGAACTAAAGAGCCTCTTGATAAAAGTAAAAGAGCAGAGTGGAAAAGTTGGCTTAAAGTTCAACATTCAGAAAACTAAGATCATGGCACCCAGTCCCATCACTTCATGGCAAATAGATGGGGAAACAGTGGAAACAGTGACAGACTTTATTGTTTTGGACTCCAAAATCAGATGGTGACTACAGCCATGAAATTAAAAGACACTTGCTCTTTGGAAGAAAAGCTATGACCAACCTAGACAGCATATTAAAAAGCAGAGACATTACTTTGCCAGCAAAGGTCCATCTAGTCAAAGCTATGGCTTTTTTAGTAGTCATGTATGGATGTGAGAGTTGGATTATAAAGAAAGCTGAGTGCTGAAGAATTGATGCTTTTGAACTGTGGTATTGGAGAAGACTCTTGAGAGTCCCTTGGATAGCAAGGAGATCCAACTAGTCTATCCTAAAGGAAATCAGTCCTGGATATTCATCTGAAGGACTGATGCTAAAGCTGAAACTCTAATACCTTGGCCACCTGATGCAAAGTACTGATTCATTGTAAAAGACCCTGATGCTGGGAAAGATTGAAGGCAGGAGGAAAAGGGGACAACAGAGGATGAGATGGTTGGAGGGCATCACCAACTCGATGGACATGAGTTTGAGCAAGCTCCGGGAGTTAGTGATGGACAGGGAAGCCTGGCTTGCTGCAGTCCATGGGGTCAGAAAAATTCGGACACGACTGAGCAACTGAACTGAACTGAAAATTCTCTACAGCTTGCGTGCTTGATGTTTGTTTTACCATTTATACTCAAACTTCTATGGTTCTGGGTTTATTTTTATTACTGTAAGTATTACTCTCCAAACAAAATATACAGAGTGTTGCTATAGCTTATATCATTTTGTTAATATTGAATATTGATGATGTGCTAAAGGGTACTTACTCTGTGACAAGCACTCTGCTAAATGCTTTCCTGGTGTTATTTAATTTTTATAGTAAATCTGTGATTCAGGTATCAACATCCCAATTTTTCATTCTAAGCTCAAAGAGGCTTTTGGCAATTGTTGACTGTAAATCCAAGTTCTTATTAATCATTATGTATCCACTAAACAAATATTTGTTGAGCACATACTATGTATCAATAATTGCTCTTAGCATTTAAGATATATCAGCAAATAAATGGAATGTCACCATGTCCTGAGGGACCTACATTCTGGTGGTATACCTAAAATTAATTTCAAAACCCCAACTGTTTAACCTCAAATGGCATTCTTCAAAACCCTGCTTTACTCTCTAGGAACATTTCTCATATAAAATTTACATTAACCTAGATCATGGGCTCTCCAACAGTTGCCCATACATCAAATCATCTGGTCATCTGTGAAAAAGACCTACTCACTAAACTAAGGAATGTATGATTTCAACTTGCACCTCAGATTACTCTTGCACACTGTCCAAGGAGAACATTTTGAAGAATATTTTTCTAGAATTCAAAAACTAGTGAGCAAAACACAATAGTTGCCTAACGTAGTTCCCTCACATCTGCTCATTTCCTATGGACCCAACATGCTGCTTTCATATCCATCTGGGTACTTTGAACTAATGCAAACTTGCTCAGCTCCTTCACTGGCTCCTCAGGACTCAAAATAGTTAGGGTTGTCAGTAGCCTCTGTTTGATATTCAAAGTCTTCTCTGATTGAGACCTTCCCCTCTCTCTAACTCTACCTAACATCCCTCTGTTCTCGTTCATCAAAGTCATCTAGCAATACTCTCTTCAATTCCATGGGTTACCACTTTTGTGCCTAAGTCTCGTTTATGAGTCTTCTCCATCCACAGTACAGATAATGGGTGATTAAACCTCTGTATGAATGAGACGCTACTAGGTTGAGATCAGTTCTGAACAAAATTTTACATTATTAAACAGATAATAAATATCAGTTAATAATGTGAAGATACATATGTAAATATATTTTCCATATAAATATGATGTGTTTGCACCTAAGGACATGTACTGTCCTGTTATTATTTTGTATGGGTGATATATTTTTAGCAAATAACAGTACTGCTGTATGACTGTACCAAAATAGTTTACAAATACATTCTGCAGAGACTTTTCAGCAAGAGTGAAACATACAACTAAACCCTCCTCAAGTTTCAGTTGCTTCAATAATTAATAGAACTTGTAGCTAACAGAACATTGAAGGAAGCGTCTAATGTTGAATTATCACATAAAAGCTTACATTTTAAAACTCTGGAGACAGTCAAGCTAAAAGTCACTCATAACACAAAACTGTAGAATTTCCAACTGGGAATTTGCATTTTACATTGTAGGCAGCCCACGTGGAGGTGAGTTTCACAAGGGGAAAGCAAGGTGAGAGGTTACCAAGGGGAGTTCTAGGAACATGTTACCTGAGTGAATTCACCAGACCTTCAAGATATGGTCTGAAGTTTTAAATTGATCGCTTTCTTAGCCTCTCAGAGGCAGACACACAACTTGAAAAACAGAGAGACTTATGTCAGGTGTCCATTTACAGTCAAAATAGGGGGCCCAGTCTCATGTTCTCCTTAGAGGGAGTTTCACACAGAAAGCCAAATTATAATCAGAAAGTTACTTGGTTGGTGAACACAGAATCGGAGTCTGGGGAGAAGGATGAATGACTTAAAAATTAAGTAGCTATGACTCTGCTGGCCTGAAATCTCCCTCTCCACTGGGAGTGGGTAAATTTAGCCCACAGGCGCTCTTGGATGAGTGATGCTAATTCCCACTCTGATTCTTGGATTCTCTATAATTTGTGATGACTTTCCTTCTTATTGGTTTAAAGTAAGTCAATACCATTTTCCCTGCAGTAGCTTTAAGCTCACTAATGGGGATAGACTTTCCAGGACACAATGATTTTCTACATTGTATTTTGTGACTAAGTGAGCACAAAGGTTAAGTTGATAGTAACTGAGTGACTGGATGCACTGAACATAATTTATACTTTTATGTGTGCCTGTACTAAGTTGTTTCAGTTCAGTTCAGTTCAGTCACTCAGTCCTGTCCAACTCTTTGTGACCCCATGAACCGCAGCACGCCAGGACTCCCTGTCCATCACCAACTCCCGGAGTCCACCCAAACCCATGTCCATCGAGTTGGTGATGCCATCCAACCATCTCACCCTCTGTCTTTCCCTTCTCCTCCTGCCCTCAATCTTTCCCAGCATCAGGGTCTTTTCAAATGAGTCAGCTCTTCACATCAGGTGGCCAAATTATTGGAGTTTCAGCTTCAGCATCAGTCCTTCCAATGAACACCCAGGACTGATCTCCTTTGGGATGGACTGGTTGGATCTCCTGGTGGTCCAAGGGACTCTCAAGAGTCTTCACCAACACCACGGTTGAAAAGCATCAATTCTTTGGAGCTCAGCTTTCTTTATAGTCCAACTCTCACATCCATACATGACTACTGGAAAAACCATAGCCTTGACTAGACGGACCTTTGTTGGCAAAGTAATGTCTCTGCTTTTTAATATTGCTTTTAAGTTGCTTCAATAGTGTCCAGCCCTTTGTGACCACATGGACTGTAGCCCACAAGGCTCCTCTCTCCATGAGATTCTCCAGGCAAGAATACGAGAGTGGATTGCCATGTCCTCCTCCAGGGGATCTTCCAGACCAAGGGATCGAACCTGTGTCTCTTAGGTCTCCTGTATTGGCAGGTGGATTCTTTATCACTAGCACCACTTGGGAAGCCCTAATACTTTTATATGAAGGTTGTAATTTAAGCCTCATCATTTGCAAGGGTTTCTTTGTGTTACCAAGGCAATGGGAATGCATAATTAGAAATTTGGGAAGTAGAGAAAAGCAAAGAGAATTACTCTTAACATTAACCATAAGTGTATGGTTTACATACACTTAGTCTTTTCCTTGTTTTTTTCCTCTCCAAATAGAAAATATAATTTATATCTAATGAAGGAGACACAGGTTCCATCTCCAGGTTTGGAAGATTTCCCAGAGGATGGTATGGCAACCCACTCAAGTATTCTTGCCTG